GGAAGTGACTCCTGGACCGTGTCTTAAGTACCTGGGAGGCAGAGCTGAGGTAAGGAGGGGTCAGGGGAGGATCTAGGTGGATGTAGTTAACCCTTATCATACCTGGGATGGTGAATGGTGGGCATTTACACATAACAAAAAGATCTGCAAGAAAATAGCCAAGCTCAGAGAGCACCAAGGAGGATCTAGGACCGTGATGGTGAACCTATGGCACAGACCCTCTGAGGGCATGCCAGCCATTGCCGCAGCCCAGCTCCACCGCACATACGCCTCCATCTGGACAGCTGGTCTTCAGGTCTCTCCGTGCACGCGCAGGGTGCATGCAGGGGATGCACGCACATGCATGGGGGGTAGGGCAGAGGTGGGTTTCAGCACATTCTGACCAGTTCTGGAGAACCGGTAGCAGACATTTTGAGTAGTTTCGAGAACTGGTAGTAAAAATTCTAACTGGCCCCACCCCCATCTATTCTCTGCCTGCCAAGTCCCAGCTGATCAGGAGGAAATGGGGATTTTACAGTATCCTTCCCCTGCCTAATGGCTTGGTGGGCGCCCCACCATGGCTTAGGACCTGGTTATCTACGGGACCACCTACTACCACCAATAGCCTCCCACCGGCCGGTACGCTCCCATAGAGAGGGGCTCCTCCGGGTGCCGTCAGCCAAACAGTGTCAGCTGGCGGCCCCTAGGGGGAGAGCCTTCTCTGTGGGGGCACCTACGATCTGGAATGAGCTCCCCCCGGAGATACGGAGGATCCCGGATCTGCACTCCTTCCGCCGTGCTGTGAAGACCTTTTTATTCCATCAGGCAGGCTTGGCCTAATCTCTTCCCTTTTTTAAATATGTAAATTTTAATCTGTTTTTAAATTATTGGGGTGTTTTAATTTGTCTGGGCCAAAATGATTTAATTTGATTTTATCTGGTTTTTAAATTTTTTGTATCTATGTATTTTATTGTTGGCTGTTCACCGCCCTGAGTCCTTCGGGAGTAGGGCGGTATACAAATCAAATAAACTAAACTAAACTAAACTAAGCCACACCCACAGAACCGGTAGTAAAAAATTTTGAAACCCACCACTGGGATAGGGGGCATGTGCAGAGAGTGCTCACATTGCATTTTGGGGCCTCGGGCGGCATCCCGCACCCCAACACTTCCAGGTTGGTGCAAGAAGCTTTCCAGGCCCAAAACGGTGCAGGGGGGGAGGGGGAAGGGGCGCCTGGCTTTCGGCACATGACAACAAAAAGCTCAGCCATCACCGATCTAGGACAACTTGCAGCAGCCAATTCACCATGGCTAACTTGCCACGGCCAGTTCACCGCTGTCAACTCACTGCAAAACAACTCACCACAGCCAACTCCCTATGGGTCAAGAATTACACTCATATGAAAGGAATGGACTAGAATCATTAAAGAAAGGATGAAAAGGAGGGATAAAATGAAATGCGAATGACAAAAAATTATTTTTTAAAAAATATTTTAAATAATTAAATTGAATTGTCCCGTGGCGAGTTGGTCACGCTGAGGTTGTCCCAAGAAGTGTCCCGTGGTGAATTGGCTGCAGCGAGTTGGCCATGGTGAGTTGGGTACGGCAAACCAAGGACCCATTATTTCAACCCTTAGCTACAAATATGCTCCACGCTCCTTTATTGGTAAAAAAACAACTACTTGCATCATATATAGGTAACCACAATTGAGCCCAAAATTTCTGTTGCTAAGCAAGATCGTTGTTAAGTAAATTTTCCCCATTTTACAACTTTTCTTGCTGCAGTTATTAAGTGAATCATTGCAGTTGTTCAGTTAGTAACATGGTTGTTAAGTAAATTTGGCTTCCCCAATGACCTGTTTGTCAGAAGGTTGCAAAAGGGGAATCAGTCAGTTGCCAAGCATCTGAACTTTGATCCTGTGACCATGGGGATGCTACAATAGTCACAAGTGTGAAAACTGGTTATAAGTCACTTTTTTCAGTGCCCTTGTAACTTTGAATGGTCACTACACAAATTGTTGTAAATGGAGGACTACCTGTACCCTGAGAACTCCTTGGGAGGAGCCATCTTGATTCTCTTCCTCCCATCCAAACTATCTAAACTTCACTGTCTCTTGGTCTTCTGGAATGCAACCTCTCCCTCTTGGGGATCCAGATACATTCCACCCCACTGCTCCTGTTAATTCAGAATCTGGTTCCTTGGAGAGGCCCATAACATGGACCATTCCTTTAACAGCCTTGCTTCTCCCATCAAAAAACAATGCAACTCTCCCCAATCTCATTGACAAACGTGATTTCTTCATAGCAATAGCACTTAGACTTATATACTGCTTCACAGTGCTTTACAGCCCTCTCTAAGCGGTTTTACAGAGTCAGCATATGGCTCTCAACCATCTGGGTCCTCGTTTTACCGACCTTGGATGGATGGAAGGCGGAGTCAACCTTAAGCCTGTCAGGATCGAACTGCTGAAATGCTGGCATCCGGCAGTACTGCATTCTAACCATTGCACCACCACTGCTCCTTTATTTCCTCTTTTGGAAACAGATAGCTGAAGTTAAACTAGGTGGCAAGAACTGTGGGCAAAACTGTGACAACCCCAGATGGATTGTGGCAATTATGGTTTATTTCCTTTCCCTTTTTTTCAGAGCCTTTTCATAACTCATTGTGCTAAGGACAATTTATGAATGAAAGCGAGCGGAGAATGTGAATTGGTAACGTGGCAATGGCATTATGACACAAGATGCTGAGAAGGGTTTTACCAGCATCCTGTAGAGGAATGATCAGCAACTGCAATGCATTTTGCTAACATTCTCGGAAGCCTTCTTTGTATGAAACGGAGCCTGGTTGAGTTGACACCAAAAGCATCTCAGTTATGCTTCAAAGGATCCAGCGCCCTGTATAAGTGGCGTTTTCTTACATAAGCACCAACTTAAAGCTGCTTCCTCCCCAAAGGAGAAGCTGCAAAAGCTACGTTGCATGATTTTCTTGACATTTCTGGATATATCTACAATCCCATCAGCCCTGTAAAATGGTATTTATGTAACCGGCAAGAGCAAAGAGCCCGCGAGAAGCATTTCAGTCAGCAAAAACATCCTGTTCCTCACGCGTGGGTTATATTTTTGTTTTCTTTCATGCTTTTGAGTCCATCTTACCTCTAGGTCACTGCCTGAATCAATCCCTGCAATTTTCAGAAGTGGCTTGGGTAGCGTTCTTGGGCTGTGGGAGAATAACTGGCCCAATGTCACCCTGTGTTGGTCCTTCAAGGTGATCCAAGCCAGGAAACCAAAAGCATCAATACAAATACAGTACTTCTTTTATTATACAGTTACAGTGGTGTTTTTTCAACCACAGCCCCTTTAAGATGAGTGGACGTCAACTCACAGAATTCTTTAAGACAGAATTCTTTAAAGGGGTCATGGTTGAAAAAAAAACTACATTACAGTAACAGAATTCTCTTCCCTCCCTGCCTTTATGTTCCAGAGAATAAGAAAAGAGATGCTTTCTCAAACTACACTTCTGGTTTGAACTCAAATTTTATTTGATGGTTGTCTAGGCTGCGGCTCTTCCTCCTGCCTCCCAAGGTTATTCTCACAGCCCTTTACACCTAGCTGGCTTTGTGTCTAAACCAAGATGAGAACCACACTTAGAAGACATGCATCCAAGCTTTGGTCACCATATTATAAAAAAGATACAAAGAACTCTGGAAAGAGTGCAGAGAAGAGCAACAAAGATGATTAGGGGTCTGGGGGCTAAAATGTACAAAAAACAGTTTCAGGAATTTTGTATGTCATGTCTAATGAAAAGAAGGACTAGGGCTGAGTTGATAGCAGTGTTCTAATATTTGATGGGTTGCACAAAAAAGAGGGGGTCAACCTATTTTCCAAAGCACCAGAAGTCAGAACAAGAATTAATGGATGAAAATTAATCAAGGAGAGAAGCAACCCTCAGTGAGAACAATAAGCCAGTGGAACAGCTTGCCTCCAGAAGTTGTGGGTGCTCCATCACTGGAGGCTTTTAAGACTGGACAGCCACTTGTCCGGAATAGTACAGGGTCTCCTGTTTGAGCAGGAGGTTGAAGGGACCTCTAAGGTCCCTTCTAACTCTGTTTATTCTGTTATTTGGGTCCTCTAGTTTCTAGCCTGGTGCCTTGTTTCCCAACCTCGGCAACTTTTAAGATGTCTGGACTTCAGCTCCCAGAATTCCCCAGCCAAGGTGCCTGAGCTAAATGGAGGTTTGAAAAAAGCAGAATGAGCCATTTATAGCAACACTGAAAAATGCTTATTGGGTGGAAGACAATTCAATTCATCCATATATACAACAAGTAAATTGATGTAAACACTTAAATAACAACAGTACCCAGATAGAATGTTAACCCCTATCTCTGCTGGTTAAAATATCTTTGGTTAGTTGCCCTAATTTACTGCAACACATTTTTAGGCAAGATCTCTACACTGTAATTTCCACTAGGTGGATCACCTTAAAACAGGAGGATGAAAAGAAGAAAAAAAAGGGGGGGGCAGAAGAACTGCTGCTATCTTCTGTAAGTGGAGAATACTTTGGTGCACTGCAGAAGCAGCTTCCTAGCAAGTAATCAGAAAACAGAATCTTCAGATTTTAGGAATGGACAGATGATATTATTCTTCATTAGCTCACTTTCTGTGGTCAGCATTCATTATTAACATCCTGCATCCATCCTTTGCAAACAAAAGCTCACATCTTATGGAAATTATATTTGGTGTTTGACAATGCAGCCCCACATCACTGAAGCAAACTAAATCAGGGATGGGCCCAGCTGATTAAGCCACTGTGGAACTTCAGGGAAAGCTTATTGTGAACATTCAACTTACTGTGATTCATTCAGCAAATTATGGTTAAGGAAACCACAAGAATCTAGTTAACACTGTTTAGAAATTGCCTCCTATGGAACATTCAAAACATGTCAAGCAACACAACTCTGCAAAGATAATCAAGTTAAACTGAAGATGCCTCCCATTCAGTGTCTTCCTCTCTGAAAAACTTACATGTTCTAGAAAACACGGTCCTATTTCACTGAGATGAGGGTCTTCATTGTTGTACTGCTTCTCCAAATCCCTTACAAAGCCCATCTGAAACCTGTAGATGTCTTCAATGTTGCCAAATATGATCTTCAGCTGCTCATCACTGAACATGTCTCTTCTCTTCCGACACTGCTTTAAATAACCCTGGAGGAAAATACAAAAAGAGACTAAGTTTACAAGTCAAGGATCCCATCACAAACAAGCTGTCCATTCCCTTAACCCTCTATGGCTGGACACTACAAAAATATTACGCCAAGATCAGTACTGAAGTAGAATTCAATCCCCAGTGTAATCAATATTTTGACCCCTCCAAGATGTCTTGATAAAGAATCAGGGTCAATCCTTTGGTATAGTTGGGAGCCCCAAAGAACCACACTCTAGTTCACAGACTGTGTTTGCAAGTTGGTCAAAAATCCAGTGGTTCCAGCTGCAGAACAAACCAAGCTTGGTTAGACTCAGAATGTTTTTCTTCTTTGCATTGGACTTTGTTGCACAAATCCAGCACAATTAGTTACTTTGACCCAGGGTTCATTCGGAGAATGGGCTCCTCGGGGAGCCAACCTAAGTAGGTTGTGTACCAAGGGGAAGGGTCAGATTGGAGTTCTGGTAGAAGAAAGGTCTGTAAGATCCTGGAGGGGGGCTGGTGGTGAGTGTGCACAAGATTTAGCAAAATGCCCCTTCGGTGCTCGATGGATGGATGGATGCATGAATGGGAGGGAGGGGAAGGGAAGGATTCACACACACACACACACCCCACACAAAATTTTAGCTGACCTGTGTGACTGCAACCTCTCTACCTCTCTCTGCTGTCCCTGGGTTTAAGTTCAGCTCAAGCCCAACTCCATCTATCCGTCTTTGCCACTGCAGGGCAGGTGGCTTTGGGTGCTCTACTCAGCTCTCTCTCAGTGGTGGGCTCCAGTGTGGAATCTTTTAAACCCATGGACTATTGATTCAATCTTCTTGATCCAACAGGCAGTCCAACCTTTTCTTTGACTTGTTGCAACCCCTTACCCTCAGCAGTGCCAGAGAGAAGATTCAGTGGTAGTCATTTTATTGGTCTCCTGGTGGCCAGAATGAACCTGAGATTATCAGATATATTTTGCTGTTGCCCATTTAATGCCAATGTACATACAGGAATACTTTTACCATCTCTTAATCTCCTCAAGGGAGAGATATTTTGTTTTTGCTGGAAGATCAGACTCTTAAGCTCTTCAGAAGAGTTGCTACTAAGTTTCTATCTGCAGTGATTGCCTTTAGCATAATGCATCCTAATCTTTGACAGATGACATTGAACAATTTTGTTTTTCCCTTTATATTCACTTCATTAATATTTTATTTCATACTATTTTTAACTATATACTATTTTATCATATATATTCAATTTACCTTTTTATCTTGCTAGTCCTTGACCATAACTGAGTACCTGTAATTAAATAGGCCTTATGTATTTTATCTTTTCAAAAGAAGGGAATGCGTACTGTATGTAATCCCCCAGTACTGCCTATTATTTGAAAAAAATCAGTCAATTCCTGGATTTCTCCCAATAGAAAAACTGCTCTCTCAGCACCCGCTGGGAGCCAACCGAATGCTTAAGAAACTTGGCAGAGCCAGATACTTCAACTCTACACCTACTAGTTGCTGACCCTACCTTTGAAGAGCCCTTGATCTTCTCTGAAGCTTGAGATGCACATGCCTGGAAAATGGTAGACTATGAAACAGTTATTTGCTGCTGGATTCACAAAACTTACTTAAATGGATCAGTTAAAAAAGTAGTGGTGCGTTTGCACAAGCAGCTAAATTTGGTACAATGACACTTTTGACACTTTCAGACAGTTCCTGACTTTGGAGGTCTTCTAGTCCAACCCCCTACTCAATCTGGAGACCTGTTCTGTCCCCGTACCACGCATACACCCAACCAGCCAGCCGAGGGTTAAATAAACTCTTCAAACACTCAACGTCAGTGATAAGGAACTTGGCAGCAACTCTGTGGCTGCCTGCCAAGAACTTTTACTCCGATAACACAGACAAAAATACACACAGTTTGAATAGTCCAGTTTGTAATTAAATCCACAGCAAATAGGCGTTGTGTCCACAGGTGCAAAGTGACTCGCCAGAGATTAGCTTTGTCCGTCACAGAGTCCGAATGGCCATCACACTCCCTTTTATAGCCTGTGGGGTGTGGTCCAGTGACTCAGCTTAATCTCTGGCACGTCTCCTTTTCTGCCGCACACGCTTGTCTCTCCGACGCTGGCGTGGGTCCAACCACAATGTTTCTTCGTCACTATCCAACGGCTCGAAAACACCTGGCTCCTGGCCAATCTCTTCTGCTTCAGGAGACACCTGAGGCATTGCCAGAGAGGAGGGTCCTGGAGAGGGAGGCCTGGCAGTCTCCTCTCCTTCATGTTCGGAGCCTTCTTCCTCCCATAAGATAGGCTCGGAGGACGGAGCCACAACAAGACTCTTTATAATTCCAGACAAATGGCTGTCCAATCTCTTGTTGAAAACCTCCAGTGATGAAGCACCCACAACTTCTGAAGGCATGTTGTTCCACTGGTTAATTGTTCTAACTGTCAGGATATTCCTCCTTAATTCCTAGGTTGCTTCTCTCCTTGATAAGGTTACATCTATTACTTCTCATCCTGCCTTCATGTGCTTTGGACCCCTTTTCCTTGTGGCAACCCCTTAGATATTGGACAACTGCTATCATGTTACATCTAGTCCTTCTCTTTGTTAGACTAGACATACCCAGTCTTTGAAAGAGGTTCCAATGCAGTGCCGAACACTCAGTAAATTATTGTCTTAGTCTAACTTAGATAATTGCATCACCTTTGCATCATGATGCACCTTGCTGAAATGACATAAGCCATCATATGAAGCGTACTCTGAATCGAGTCCATTTGGTTTTTTCATAGTTCATGCACTGTGCAATCCCAGAAGATGGGTTAACTCAAGCAGGTTGTATCTGAGCTACAAATTTAATCTGGAACATCACAAGAAAAGATGATGAGGACTTTTGAAGTGAGGCCACACACCTCTCATTGAAGGACTCACTGAGTTTATTTACTAATTTATTAAATTTGTTTGCTGCCCATCTTGCTTTGAGGGGACTCGGGGCAGCTTATAACTATTAAAAGCCAATAAAACCATGAATAAATATTGCTAGTAGCAGTAATAATTTAAAAGATGGGGAGGAAGGAAGCAGGATATGCACAGGGAAAGCTGTTCTAAATGAACAGCTCGTTATAGTATAACTTTTATATTGGGGAAAAGTCATCTATCCACTGCTTGCTTTGTTAACAAAAACAACAACAATGGATCTCTCATACCGGAGAGAACTTTGCTAAGTGATAGACTTTCCGTTTAAAGTATTTTTTCATGTAGTCCCTCTGGACTAGGTATGGGGCAATTCTTTTTCCAGGAAGTTAAGTGCCTTAGATAAGGCTTTAGAGCCTTAGATACACAAATTTTGGGATTGTGATGCAGTACCTATCACCGTTTGTCAACCATTCCTATTTTGGGGGATTTGGTAAGGGAAGTAATGGGCAGACCACATATAATTGTTGTTATGGAAAAGAGGTCTCTTGGAGCAGGGGTCTCCAACCTTGGCAACTTTAAGCCTGGCCGATGTCAACTCCCAGAATTCATCCGCCAGGCTTAAAGTTGCCAAGGTTGGAGACCTCTGTCTTGGAGAATCCAAAGCTTTTGTTACAAGAGCTGAACAGAAATAATTTTCCATCCTATCTGTGGGTTGAAGAGTAAAGGAAGGTTTTCCACTTTTCACTCCATGTTCCTACTTCTCCAGAACATCAGAGACTTCTCCAGGATGAGGCCCACCATTGGCATTCTTTTTCAGTGTGGTCCTCTTCTCTCTAGTTGATGTTAGTGGCAGTGCCAAGAAATATAGATTTCATTTTTGTATATCCCCCAATGCTTTCAACTAGCATCCTACTGCTGTATTTAGAAGAGGTCAACTGCCCCTTCCTTCCTTCAAATTGTGGAGCATATTTGGAGAAATGGGGCCAAAGATGACATCTATAAGTCAGAGTAAACATTCATAATCTTGATAACATTCTCAAATTTAATTTTTGTTTGAAATAATACTCTTCTGGGGGAGAATTTCATAATGCGTGTATAAAAGAAGCAGCGGCACAGAAGCAAAGGTATTTTTCATTACTGTTACCGGTATTGCCTTTTGATTCCTGATGTACAAGTCATCCTGATTCCAGCATTATTTAGAAAAAAACCCTGAAATGGCCATTCCTTTCTATTTTAAATGGTTTTTCAATTTGGAACTTTGGAATTTTGTGGATATCTAGGACCAATCCAAATGACTGAACTGATTTCTTCTGACTATGTGATTAATTAGAAGGTGCAATTGAATTCCCTTCAAACTAATCTCTGAATCAAATATCCACACAGTATTCCTTTTGAAAGACCTGAACCCATAGGCTCTTTTTTTCCCCAAGGAGAAAAAGGAAATCTTTGAGAAGCTGTGAATGATGGCTCCATGCTAGCTCCATTTCTGAAACTAATCCTTGGCTGCTGTCCCACACTGAGAAGCAACTGGATCCATGGATCACATTAATTTCCTACAATGCTGCCAAGCCAATGTCTGAGCATAGTGGAAAATTCAAGGGATGGCCTAGACACTTAATTTAAAGCATTGTCATCCCATCCAGATAATTCAACCAGAAATCTCAAAGAGGCGAGAATAGGATTCAAGAACTCTTTGTCAACTTGTACCTGCAATTGACCCAGTCCTTTAGAATACAACGATTTTCAGAATAATGTCTCTCTACCCAGACAGCCCCATAATAGATTCATTTCTCTGAATTCAGACAAGGTCTGAATAGGGAATTATGAATTCTAATTATAAAGCATTTCTAGTCAAGACTCAGTTTCCTGCAAATGACAATGTCATCTGATCCAGCTCTATTTATATTCTGTAATTCTTCACATCTCATTTTTTTTTCTTTTGCTGTGCTACTGTGTTCCTGAAATGAGTTTGTACTTCGTGGCCTGCCTTGTGGTTTGGACTCCTTTGATCCCATTTGTAGTAACCTTTGGGCCCAATTTTACTGGCTCTGTTCATGAGGATTCTTGGATTTGATCCTGGACACATTACAGACTACAGAGTATTGATT